CGGGTCTAGCTATTTCAAATCATTATAAAGAGACATCTAGCTTCAATTGACATTACGATGATATGAAGATGGTGTTATTAATAAAGCTTGGCACGCAAGGCTAACTTTGGAAAAGCTGCAAGCTTTAAAAGAGTCTTTCACAAAGTCTCAACAAATCTTAAAAGTTTTGCAACAAGATATTCTGACAAAGAGGGCAGCATAAGACAAATTCCTAAAAGGAGGTTTTCAAAATTATTATTCTTTCCCTCACAATACCTTGTAATGGTACCGGCCTGCCCAAATCTTGATATAAAAGATTGGAGAGGTTTCCTCTGTTGAGTAATGGAACTGATAAGATTGGTGTCTACTACTGTACTCAATGCTATGCCAAAGAAATTAATTTGGGTGATGGTAAAGGAAGCCAACTAAAGGCTGACACATTGGGTACGTACACTGAACTGGTATTTCAGGAAAATGGTGACTGCCTTTCACATTAAAACACTGAAGTACATTATAGAGACTAGGTAGAAATAAATGCAGCAACTAATCTGTATCATAAACATTATTATTCTTATAAACTTAGAGAAGTAATCAATTCAAATATTGGGGGTGGATTTTGATAAGAAGCAATACAAGCTAAGATACATGGGAAATAGCAGTGTGTGTGTGTGTGTGTGAAGAAGGGCCTTTCATGTCAATTTAACAACCCAACCCAAGAATGTTCTTGGTCTATGTGAGTTATCTGTATTGTGCATTTTGCAGTGTAATAGGCACCTGCAAACACTACAAACAATCCAATTTGGATATTGTAGTTATCGGGATAATTGTTCAATGAGGAAGACTGCTGCTTAAGCAGATTCCTTTCAAAATGTCAAAAGATAATGTAAGATAAAACTAACAAGGCTAACTAACAAACCAAGGCAAACCTAAATAAGATAAGATGGATTTCTAACAGATTCAAAACAAGAACTTCAAGATGAATAAACTTTACAAACCCTTTTTTAAAAAAATCACAACTCTTGCTGTAATTATCAGTATGTTGTACTAATTTACAACAAATAAAAGAATTAGTGAGAAGTCATGCTTCTGGTGCTTATGGAAGCAATGAGATGGAATAGCCTTTAGAAACTGGTGATGGTTTAAGAAAGGGGAGGAAAATATACGATTGGGCGAGGGGGAAGAACAACTTCTGAAAAGGACAATGTGTGTAGGTGATTTGAAATTTAAGTATTTGAAACCACTGTGGGAAAAACTCATATTACAAATCAAAACTAACAGCTGGAGTTGATATCACTGTCGACAGTGCAAACTTCTGCCTCTGCATTCCTTTACAAAATAGCTGTAGCAAAGTCCTGAGGGCACTTAGATTTCTCCATGTTTAAACAAACAATGATTGAGTTAATGTATCCCTTACAGATTAAGATGTCATGCAGATTAAAATGGCAGTACTTCTTTGAAGACTATGTGCATTCCTTCTAATGTCTTCTGACTATAAATACTCTAGTCACCTATGAGTAAAATGCTTCCTTGTGGAGTTTCCAGAGAAACGTGGCTGAATTCTGCCTAAGCTTCAAAACACATTTTAAAGGGAATAGAAGATCTAAACTGCAGTTTATTAACAGTTCGAGCACATTGAAGAACTAGAATCCGGCTGGTTTGCATCCTACTGACAGATTGGTCAAGATACCCATTTAGAATGGTTATTTGCCTTTCATACTGTAGATTAGTCTTGACACCTTATAGAAGTTAAAATGACAGCTGTAGGTTGGTATGATGAATTTTTAGGGAATATGATTGATTTGTAGTAATATTGTCATAGGTCATGAAATACATGGCTCCTGTGACAGAAGTACTGACAGCCGAATTTCACAGGTATTTATTTTTGTCAAAGACATTTACACTTACAATGGCTGTCAAACTTTATACCAATTTACACTCCCTCGCTTCCGTCTTCACAAAAGCAGCTGCAATAATTTTGCTGTGGTTATTAAATTCAAGTTATGTTTTTATATTACCTCTTTGGCTCCAGAGGGAAGCCAATTACCAGAGGCTATTATTAATATTAAATGGCAATTTTCTGCACCCTGAATCAGGCCAGACCCAATTTGTATCAACTGTTTGCTCTGGGTCAAAGTGCTGAACGTTTAAGCAGGTTCTGGAGTGAACATCCCATTGCCAGAGTCACTATCCGAGTGACAGGAAATGCCACGATGGGGTTCATGGGCAGGCCACCAGATATGGCCTTTCCCAGAAATTCAATGTTCAAATATAAACAAACACTATAAAATTCTACTAGAGGGGAACCTAGTTATAAAACAGTTGGTTTGGGTCCAAAAATTCAGACCCATGTTACAAGGAGATGTGCAAAATAGAGTCCCTGGTCAGCAATTCTGGGGTTAGCACGACATTCTTGGTATCACTTACTGCATGTTGCAGGCCAAACATGTTTTGCGCACAAAGTGCAATAAACATCACTTCCTTTGCAACATTTCTTGCGCATAGCACACAAGCGCAGGAAGCTGGCCAGTGAGCGCTAGAAGCAGACTGCACTTCCGACATAGAGCAGGTCAACGGTATGCTGAGCTACAAGAGGACGCCCACATTAGAATGGGGGTCACAGACAGGGTCATGATTCAAGGTTAGGAGGAATAATAATACTTGCATTTGATATAGCGCCCTTATCAGTTCTTCAAGATGTCTCAAAGCACTTGACAGAATATACTGCAAAGTGAATTGACTGGGGGAATTCGCCATCTCTCCTCTACACTCCGCCCAGCAGCTGCAGGACCTGGCAACCTGACTGACTTCTGTATAAAATGTTGTCTTGTATACTGGAATGCGAGAATACCCATTAGGATATCATAGTGCTGTATGATATCATACAGCACAAAAAGAGGCCATTTGGCCCATCGAGTCTGTGCCGGCTCTTTGAAAAGAGCAATGTAATGTTAATCCCACTCCCCAGCCCTTTCCCCATAACCCTGCAAACCCGTCCTCCTCAAATACCCATCCACCGCGTTTTTAAAAGTAGTTATCGAATCGGCCTCGACCACCCTTTCAGGCAATGCGTTCCAGATTCAAACAACTCGCTGCGTGAAAAAAATTCTTCTCACCTCCCCTCTGCTTCCTTTAGAGACTATTTTGAATCTGTGACCTCGAGTCACCGACACACCCACCAGTGGAAACAGTTTTTCCCTTTCTAACCTATCAAATCCCCTCATGATTTTGAAGACCTCTATTAGGTCTCCTCGTAACCTTCTCTGCTCCAATGAGAATAATCCCAGCCTCTCTAGCCTTTCCTCATAATCGTCCCTCATTCCTGGTACATCCTCGTAGATCTCCGCTGCACCCTTTCCAATGCCTTAACATCCTTCATATAGTGTGGTGCCCAGAACTGGGCGCAGTATTCTAACTGAGGCCTAACCAGTGTTTTATATAGGTTAATCATAACCTCCTGACTCTTGTACTCTATGCCCCTATTTATAAAGCCTAGTATCCCATATGCCCTTTTTACAGCTTTATCTACCTGTCCTGCATCCTTCAAGGATTCATTTACCTGCACCCCCAGGTCTCTCTGTTCTTTTACCCCCCTTAAGATTGTATTACCAGCCTGTATTGCCTTCCCTCATTCTTTCTACCAAAATGCATTATCTCGCATTTCGCCACATTGAAACTCATCTGCCATATGTCTGCCCATTTTACCATTCTGTCTATGCCTTCCTGCAGTTGGCTCTTATCCTTCTCACTGTTTACCACCCTATCTAACTTTGTGTCGTCCGCAAACTTGGGAGATGGTATTTGCTATACCCAAGTCCAGATCATTTATGTATATTAAGAAGAGCAGTGGTCCTAATACCGATCCCTGGGGAACGCCACTGTGCACTTCCCTCCAGTCAGAAAAGCAGCCGTTCACCACAACTCTCTGCTTTCTGTCTCCCAGCCAGTTCTGGATCCATGCTGCCACTGTCCCTTGTATACCATGGGCTTCTATCTTTTTTACAAGTCTTTCATGTGGCACTTTGTCAAATGCCTTTTGAAAGTCCATATAAACTACATCAACTGCACCACCTTTATCCATCCTCTCCGTTACCTCATCGGAAAATTCTATTAGATTGGTTAGATAAGATTTGCCTTTAACAAATGGCTAAATATGGCTTGGAGGGTTAACAGAAGCTGAGTGGAAAGTATTCCTGCCCCCACTTCCAAGTTCTGCCAACAAACTAGGCTGGGTAGTCTATCACCCACATGTCTTGTGGTACTGTAAACCTGCCTGACTCAGAAAATAATCTAGGAAGACCATCACAAAATTCCAATATTCCATTGACAGGCACATCACCCTGAAGGGATCTTAGTTTCAAGGAGACCCCGATTACCTCTTGGGGGCAGGGGGTAAAATTATTAGCCCTTGAATATGTGTTAGACTGGAAGGTTTATTCATTATGAATAGCTATTCCCAATTGAACAAAAATCATAGCAGTTGTGTGTGAGCGAACAGTTCAGTTTAGAGTTCAACTATGTCACCTGATCAAAGCAGATTCCTAAAAGAAACAGACTTCTAACAAAATCTGTAACCTCAACTAAACCCACATTCATGAGGAACTTTCCATTGCACACTTCCTAATGGGATCTTCTTTGATATAAACCTATAAAGTAAGCAGCTACATCAGCTTGTTCCCACCTGTCAAACAATGGCTATGAACAGACTACAGTACTGACAAAGCAGTTTGTAAATCGTGTTTAGAACTTGATAGTCCTCCAAAAATGTAATCTAGCGTATCTCCTCTTCCAAAATAACCTTAGTTTTATAACTAGTATTTATAATCGTTAATTGTTAACAAGAGAAAAAAAACCACAAAACCTCAATGACGTCAATAACAAAATGAAAGCAATTTAGAATGGTGCAGGAATCAGACGATGTGTCAATATATGCCACAGAAGGCTAGCAAAGTGCAAAGTAAACTTTGCAAATATACTCAGGAAAGCAAGATTTGATATTTTGCAAAGCTGCAACACAAACATACCTTTTCTCCACTGGAGTAAAAGAAGTATCTCAATCGGACAATATTACAATGATCCAGTTTTCGCATAATCTGCAGCTCACGATTCTGAAAAAAAAACACCCAAGAAAATCAGCCCCGACTGTAAAGTAATTAGGCATTCAAAGTTATAACAGTTTCAAATGAAATTCAGTTCCACGATAACACCAATAAAATTCAGCCTTGCATTATTTGCAATAAAGTTGCCTGCTCCCAAATTGATTTCATTGGAACCAGAAGAGTGCTCATCACCACCATTATTGCTATTCATCAGTTCCAATAAGATGGAGGGCTTTATTTTGTCAAGAATACAACGCATCTACAGGCAGGAGCAAAAAGGTATTAATAATAATAAAAAATGCAAGGCCCAAGGCACTAAGCTGAATGGAATTCTCTCCCCCATTCCCCCACCCTTGACATCAGCATTCTTAAAAACATTTGTTGTGGCTTACAAAACTATCTAAAACTCTTCCCCCACTCCCAGTCAGCTGTATGAAGGTGCTTTAAGGCATCTTCCTAATGTGAAAGATGCTATATAAATGTAAATTGTTGTTGTACAGTATATGGTGTGTGTGTCAGCCTGGCTCAGTTTGAAGCACTCTTGCCTCCCGGTCGAAAGCTTGTGGGTCGAAGCCCCACTTTGGGATTTGGAGCTCATATTTGGAGCTCACTGGTGCTCTAATACAGTGCTATGGAGGTGCCATCCTTTGAATGAGACATTAAACCGAGGCCCCATCTGCCTGTTCAAGTGGATGTTAATTAGAAAAGAGAAGGGAGTATCTCCTGGTGTCTTAGCCAGCAATCCCCCAAATAAAATTGCTCCTTCACTTCATGGCTGTTTGTGGGATATTGCTGTGAACAAACTGATTCACTGCTGATATGACACCCGTGTGCAGGAAGCGGCAACAATGGCACCTGTTGCTCATAACATACAGGAACAACAACAACAACAAGATTCCATTTATTGAGCGCCTTTCACGTCGGGAGGACGTCCCAAGGCGCTGTACAGTTGGGTCAGGACCCGAAGTGATATCAGTGGCAACGTGACAACACACGAGGCTCAATTTTTCGCACTTTTGTCATAGGGTGGTAGAACTGATGTAACCTTGTTATAATGGAGTGCGTCTTCCCAAGAATAGTAAACCTTTCACCCTTAATGGAAAAATTTTACCGCAAAGTAAACGTATGTTCCATTTCCTGGAAGATGAAGAAATGGCAATTCCAATTTTATCAGTGACTGTGTTTCGGTTGCCGTTAATTAGTACATTAATTACAATGCAAGCTGCTGGATCAGTATGGTACCACAGCTTTTCTCCACTACAAACATCATGGCAACGTTTCTTACTACTGTATTACTCAAGCCTCAGTTGTTTACCAAACTAGATCTTATACGCTGTGTCCTCCTCAAGCCCAAATAGATCTCATGACCTTCCCTTGCTCCAAACAACCATTTATTCTCATACCAAGTGTGCACATAAAGCAACCAGCAGCAACATTCAACCAAGAAACAATTCATATCTGTGGATTAGCTAAAGGTCCCCGAGTGATATATCCAGGAGCCTATATGAGGTCACTACACAGAGAATGATCCACAGAAACCAAGGCCACTGTTATCAGGCACTTCAGTACACAATAGCACAACTCGACTTCTGTGGATAATAATCCTTGCACTTGATAAATCACCTTATCACATCGCCAAAACGCTTCAAAATATTTCATAGAATTTACTGTGAAGTGTAGTGACTAATTGTAGACAAATGTGGCAGCCGTGTGCCACAAACAGCCATGAAATGAACAACCCATTTTATTTCAGGTAATGGCTAAACTTACAATACTTTAACCTTAAAAATCATTTTTAGAAAGTACTGTATTGGCAGGCAAATAGTTTTTAAACGCATTAGATGTTGGATCATGGACACTCCATTCTTTAATGATACAGCTAGTCACTGAAGGGCATACAAAATTAGTTTACCAATGCTATGCAGTAGCATAAGGATTGCTGCCATTGCAAATTATGGCACAGGCAAAATGACTTCATGTGTATTAACTGAAACCTGAACTGGAACTGCACACTACAGGAACTGAGGCACAACAGGAATACATGAACATGCAACCATCAATGGAAAAAAAACTGTTCCCTTTGTAACATAAAATCATACATGAAATATTTTGGAATGCAACTTTTACAAAATCAAAGAATTTGACAGTCGTAATTATTGTAACATATAGTGATTGAGCATATAGTGTTTGAGCTCAGCGAAATCCCACAAGTGGCCAAAAAGTGGATGGCCAATTAATCTACAACAGACTTGGCCAGGACACCAGAAGAATCCCTTCTCGTTTCAAAGAGTTTCACAGCATCTTTAACATCCATTAAACAGCCAGACAGGACCTTGTTAGTCTGTTCAAAAGATGGCACCTCTGCCAACGCAGTATTCCCCCAAATCCTACCTGGATCATCAACCTAGACTGAGCTCAAGTCCAGATATGGCGCTTGAAACCACAATCTTAGAGTTGAGAGAGCTCCAACTGAGTCAAGGCAATACCCAGTAAGAATTCATTATATTTTAAGCCCTTTTCTGAACAAAGAATAGGTTTTCTCACAAGCATGGAGGTGGGGAGGAAAGTTTGTATAAAGATTGAAGTCAAATCCCATATCGGTTACAAATTGGTTACACAAAAGATGGACAAAAGACTTCCAAGATAAAATGCAAGGGAAAATTCCAGAGAATTGTCGACAAACGCCCAAGAAGTTACCAAAAAATAAATACAATTGGCTGCAACCTTCAGCAATTACCAATGGAACATGAAGAACACTGAAGCAACCAGTTCAGTAATCTTCGCTGCAGATGGTTACCAAAAACAGAAAAAATTAGGCTAACAGTGCAAGATCCAAAGAAAGCAGAATGCGGATGAATTAAGTTAGGAGACATCAAACTGGAGCTTTAAAGCCTTGAGGGGGAATTGTTATAATTTATAAGTTCCTGAAAGATCACCAAGAATATGTAGTGGGTGAGAAAACATGCAGATTTAAAAATTATTATTCCCTGAACTTCGGCAGACTACAATCTCTCAGAGTTGTAGAGTTTGTTCTACTGTCTTTGGATTAGATACATCTGGTATTGACTGAGGTGGTGACACAATATCTGTCAATTGTACATATATGGAATCAGATGCAACAAGAGGTCAAACAGTTATGGATGTCAATATCTGTGGAGAAAGTCTGGTCATTATTGTGTGTAAAAAAAATCCTTGGTGGTGGTTTCAATAGTCCAGTTTCTGAGCCAGGTGGGTCCACAGTATATCAAGACATGCTGTGACAAACTCATTGGCAGGCCTGACTCTTCAGCAAGACTGTTGTGACAGACTTGAAGCAGAAGATCTTCCCACTCTGCTTGTATTAGCCCTGCAAGCCAAAGCCCTAAGGGGTGAGGTGAACCTGGCCGAACAAGCAGCAAAAAGCTTGCCAGACGGTGCTCGCCATGGGGTTGTACCAATAATAATCCAATAAGGGTTATTCCTTCAAGGCCCGTCTCACTACCTTACTCTTTGACCGTGCAGTCGGATATCCTCCCAGTCCCATTACACTTGCCCTCTACTATTCTAGATTCCAATCTTCAACTCGGGTGCCGATCCTCGACTGTCCTGCAACTTGGGACATCCTCCCAACATTAAAGATGCTACATAAATGCAAAATTTGTTGTTTAATTACACTACACAATGTGTGGGTTTGATTAATAACATATTGCAAACACACATTACAATGCAAAAATTACTGAAATTGGTGGGTGACATAACATTTACACGGGACCTTTTCATGTTTGGAAGAACATCTCAAAGCGCTCGACACTGTTGACTGGGTACCTCAGCTAGGGGTGGGAATCGAGAGAGATGGCATGGGAAGGGGGAAAAGGTGACTGGAATTGAACTCAGGTCTCTCACTTGCAAAGCGAGTGCTCTAACCACTGAGCTACAGGACTCCACAGGACTCCACAAACTCCACAGATGGCATGGGAAGGGGGAAAAGGTGACTGAAAGGTTGATCAAAGAGTTAGGTCTTGATGTGCCTTGAAAGAGAGGAGGGAGGGAGTGAGTCAGAGGAACTCCAGGAATAGAACTCCAGAGAGTGGGGCAAAATGGCAATGGTGGGGCAGATGGGATGGGAGATGATGACAACACATGAAGCTCTCCCCCCACCCCACTCTTCTCACCTCCGTCTCACGCACTCTCCCTCTCATTCAATCACTCTCGCCCCCATCCTTCACCCCTCAATCCCTCTCTTCCAATCAGCTGCGCAGTCACTATCTGGAGTGGCAGGAGCCAGCGGTTGCTAAGGACGCGGTGGATGAGGAGACACGATTGCCTTCCTGACAGACTGCAGCAACAGACGGTATTATTTTCACTCTCCGCTCTGCTTCCTTATAACCATCGCTCCTGCTGCTGCCCTGGACGGACACTCACCAGGGAGGGAGGGAATGGAAGTTAGAAATGGTCTCGCGCCAGATAAGATCACTTGCCGGGTTGGATGCACTGTTCTAGGGTATAAAATTAAAATCCAAGGAATTATCTGTAAGGCTGTCTCATCATAACCAGGGCTCAAGACTTTTGATATTGTATAAAAATTCTTAAGACAGCTAATGTTTAAAATGTACTTCTTCGGTTTGAATTAGCATAGGCAATTTTCCTGAAACTTAGTAATGTAACATTGCTTTACAATGAATGCCATCAAAGCAGAAATACTGTAATGCACTGAATAAATAGGGACTTTAATCACAAAATATTAAAAAATTGGTTACGAACCTCTGGTAGGTTCTTCTGCATTTTTTGACTGAGGTTATCCTCTACATATTATAAAAGCAGCATTAGAGAGCAAATTGGAAAAACTATAGGAACAATGTTTAACTGGTCAAACTTTATACTACATGGTACAAAATATGGCTGACCCATTTGCCTACAAATTCAACCACCACTACACTTTACAGTAAATCTGTGAAGCACTTTGAAACGTCCTCCAGACGTGAAAGACCTATATCAAATGTAAGGAATACTATTATAGAACTTTTCTTTGGGTTACTCAATTCATTTTACTCAAGGAGGCTGAAATGCTGCAGTTTCACTGCTGTAACAATTCCAACATTTAAGAAAACTTTTGTAGCACGAAACCTTTGTATTATAGAAAGGAAATTTGTTTTCACTCAACAAACCAGTTTATACGAAATCATTAGCAAGAGGAATTATGTGAATAAAATAGGTTTTAAAAATCTCTATATAAACATGTTGCAGAAGCCAAAAGAAACACATTAAGGAGAAAACAGTCCCCTTCACTGGATATACTGTAAAGTGCAGTGATTGTATTTGTGGATTAAAAAAGTCACCACCCATTCACGCTTATCAGCTACTTTCTTTTTAAAGCATTGGTATTCCGTTGGAGGCTTTGACCTGATTCAGGTCTATCCTCCAACGAAAGGATCCAAAGTCATATGCTGTTGGATTCTCAGACTGGACCTAAGACCACTGTGCCACAAGATGAGAGAGATATCCAATAATACTTGGGGAGAGCATGCAAGTTGCTCGAGCTTTGAACCTTAATGAAGGCTTGTAACCATTTAGCTGCGGTTGGTTAGAATCATAGAATTTTACAGCACAGAAGGACGCCATTTGGCCCATCGTGCCTGAGATATCTGTATTATAAGTATACATATGCTGAATCTGCTGCCATATGGAGCTTCACAAAATACAGTAAAAACACCTTACAGTATATCTTGTGAAGCACTTTGACAAGTCAATGGCATGATAAGGCACTATATGTCTATGATTATGTCTAACATATCTGTTGATGACAGTCTTTTAAATGGTCATTCCTCACATCAATATTCCACACTAGTTGCAATTTAATCTTTTCTACAGCTTTCACTTCTTTATGGTTCATGGGAGGAGTTTGCTTTGGAAATATGAGCTTTTCATTGTCTTCAATAATACTTCAGTTTAACTGCGAAATTTCCTTGGGGGAGGTTATCCACAAAATACTGGTATTCTTGAGTGAAAATTATATCCATTTAACATGTGGGAAAGCTGCTCTTAATGTTTGGTACACAGCATCCTGTTAGATTTTGAATTGGTGCGACCTTCTAGAAGCACCTCCAGATTAACTTTAAAAACCTTGGTGAAATAATTTGCTTTGAAATTAACCCACTCACCCTCAATTTGGAACTTGATGTCATGGTCTTTGTAACTTGCAGTTTCACAGAGATAAAGAAACGTCAACAAAATCTATCCCTATATGTTTTACTTTATTCTTCAATTCAGGATCACTATAATGGCAAGTTATATCGATTAGCAAGAATTACATCAGATGTCTTGCTTACATCTTAAGAGTGCCTCTTTATAAGACTACAGCAAAGAGCCGTCAATTTGAATATCTTTCATAAATTCAACATCAGTAAATGAGAAAATTCCGTTTAGCAAGCATAATATCAAGTGAGCCACTAAAACCCTTCAACATTGTAATTTTTAACTTAAAATGTTTTTGATTGTTAAACAACTCCACTTATACAGCCCATTTACATTCACACAAAATATCAAAATAGTTCAGAAGTGATGAGGTAGGAAAAACAATCAAAAACATTTTTACAGGTTGGCTTAGACCCAGGGTGGTATCACAATCAACACAAGGTGTTTGCCAAATACCCTCACTGATACAAGGGCCACTATAGTGCCCACTTTTTAGGTCAATTTTAAGAAGCTTTTACGTCTCTATTAGGATCAGAGTACAAGGAGTTTACACACCAACTTAAAGCTCCAGACTAGAATTAGTGCTGCAGATAAAGTACAAGAATTGCATGTTGTTTTTGACCCTTTTCTGAAGGTGGGAATAGTTTCTCTGTTCTCTTCTGAGAAACAACAGTATGTTAATATTCTCCAATTTTAAAATAGCATTAAAAATGGTAAAACAGAATGGTTGGAACAGGTTTCACATCACCAAATTAAGTATGTAACTTGAATATTCGAAGTGGTTGAAACTTTACACATTGAATATTCAATGAAAATAAACAAAGTAAATTTGAATGGTCCCAAGATCATGATTCATTGCTCAATTCAGCTCAGCTCCCATTTGTCATTATCTAAGAGGAAGCCATGGTTATCTGTTGTAAAGTAGTGTAGGAAAGTACTGGTAGAATTTAGCACTCCCTCGTGGCCTGTTCTCTCCCTCTTGGGAATCCCAAGAACTTCAATGTGAGGCAAACACGGGCTTGTTTACTGCATTTCAAAATGCACATTCAAAAGACTACACATTAAAAAAATGGGGTAGTTTGTATTAACTGGTTAGCAAACCTGGATCCATTTTGACATGTGGTCACGTTAGGCAATCTAATTAATCTGTGTATTGTCTGGGTTTGTCAGCTGCTTTGATTCAATGACAACACTTGTATAGGCTTCCCTGCATTATGTGATGATGGATGATGTCATTATTATGCCTACTGCATCCACCATTACACCAAATGAAATCTACACTATGATAAACTGTAAAAAAAAAAGATTTTTCATCTTGTCAAATAGGTGGTTTCACAGGAAAAAAATATTACAAATGTTGCAATCCTCAACAAATCCCCAAATCCTTTGATTTAAAGGACGTGATGCAAAAGCTATTCAAACTGGAAATCCTTTACATGGAACATTTGACAATCAGAATGCTAAAGGTTAAAGGCATTTATAGAACCTGAACCACTCTATTATCCACTAGAAAGTGTAGCTTAATCTTCAGAAAATCATACAAGTAAAATATATGCACTTACAAATAAAACGAGATTTAAAATTCTGTCCGCAAAACATTGTGATACAAACAGTACTTCAGTGTTATTCTAATCTGCAATAAATCAAGATAACCACTAATCCAAGGACATTTGATGATGTTCTGTTCCATATAACAATCCAAATCTGCCCGAGGCTATGATTGCTTCAATGAAAGGGTTAACAGTCTTTCAGCATACAAATGGACACGCATTCGAGCTGTGGATCAAGTAATTATGAATGGCTCCTGGACACTGTTTGAACAAGTCAATGCAGTTCTTTGCTGATTGACAGACCTTCAATATTAAGAGAATTGAACCAATATCAATCCTGAAATTACCAACGACTGGGCATAACACGGTAAGTCTTCTGCAGCACTGGGCTGGATGGCAACTTGTCAAGTCAGTAATGAGCATTTCAACCAAAGACAGATTCAGGAATTTGTTTGCTGAACAGGATTTTTTTTTTACATTTAATGTTGAAGACATTTAACACCCATCATGTTCAGTTAGGCATCAGCTGGATGGACTGTGTGCAGTTGTGAACACCTAAACGACATCAGAACCATGGAAAGCTGCAGACATGTGGTTCACATGGTTGGACCGGCAATGTGTAGGAAAGGCTTGAAAAATGTCTGATTGGGCCCGTTTTCATTGGAAAGGAGATGTTAAAGTCAGATCTAAGAAGTCTTCACAATTCTGAAAGGTTTTGAGAGGATAACTAGTGACATTATTCTCTCTTTGTTTGGTAAACTGGTCACAAGGGGCACCTGCTTAGTATTGTTATTGAAAGTACCAAGAGACTAGAGTAGCTTTCATGCGGGCACAGAACACTTTGCCGTTCAAATTGAGCCCATACCATTTTAAAAGGAATCAAATATGCAATTTAAAATACGAGGAAAGAGCAAGTGAATTGGGATTGGAGGTTTGCCGATTTGGGCCAAACAGTCTCCTCCATGATTCTATATTTTTATTGCACCTTTGTCAGCTTCAGGCCTAGCTTCTTCCATGCCTCCAAAAACAAAAAATTTTTTTTTTTTTTGAAGATTTGAAGCTTTTTTAAAATAACATTCCTTACCTTAAATCTCTTGTCCTGCAAAACCTTCTTGATGGCCACCAGCTCTCCTGTATCACATAGTTTCGCCTGGTAAACGACTCCAAAAGAACCATTGCCAATAACCTTGGTATCGGTGTAGCTGACTTCCTGCGGCCGGTCTGGCCCTTGTCCTGGCGTTGCCACTACTGTTGTCACTTTACTACCATCTTTGTCTCCTGGTCAAAAGATAAAACACAACGTCAAAAACAACATTTAAATTGGTCAAAATAGCACCAGTTTTCAAAGCATACACATTCTATAAAGAATGTATTTGGTTGGGGATGTATAACTCCAGTGGTGCTAGCACTAGCTTCGTGCTCAATGGGTTGACAGCCTCCTTTGCTTTAATTTATAGCTTTGTCAGTAGCATTGCCTACGCAAGTAAATTATGACAAAAGTCCTGAGAAATTTTCCAGAAATAGCCATTCATCAAAACAGAACACCTAAAATATAACTCAATCCTTATTCAGCATAAATATATTCAGTACAAGTCCAGTTTTTCAGAACTCTTACCGTTCTAGATACTGATTGAGACCAGATGACATTTAATATGGATTATTAGTTTGAGGCTAAAGCTTTTTTGGTGAGGTAAAAGTAGGAAACCTAAATCCTCCCAGAAAAGCTGCAAAAAAGAAAATTTATGCCATTTCATTATTTCCCTGGGAGTTTTAGGTTTCCACTCTGAGCCACCAGATTTCTCCGTACTTGTACTCATTCCTGTAAAGGAACAGTCTTCTACAGCTGTTAGCTGAGTATCCTGCCACCTCTTATCATACACCACCAAGCTAACTTACATTGGTATAGTTCCAGACACGATTGAAAAATAATAATAATCCTTGCATTTGGTATAGCACCTTATCACGTCTTTGAGATGTCTCAAAGCGCTTCACAGAATATACTGAAAAAGTGAATTAGCTGAATATTTTGTGGGCAAAAGCAGCAGCCAATTGCACACAGCAGTGTCCCACAAACAGTCGTGGATTGAAGTGACCAATTTATTATTATTTTTTTTTGGAAGGAATTGTTACCTCTAGTAAAGCGATCTGCAAATCGACTAACAATTGGATTCCTACTTACTGCTAGGTAAACAGAGGAATGCGGAGTACGGAAACTTGTCCAACATTTAACCCTGACAGGAATCGAAACCAGGTCGCTCGCTTGTGAGGCGAGTGCTCTAACCACTGAACTAAAGGACTCCAAGATCCAATTTAATGGCACACCATGGTAAAAGAGTTTAGCCAGACATCAGCGTTAAAGAATTTGACCTAAAAAGTGTGGCAACATGGACAAAACTTCCTAGAAAATAAGTCTACAATACACACAACAAATTAAATCTATCTGGAAACAAGGCACAATAACCATATAACATTTCAAAAATCTGAAAATAAACTGCACTGATCTTTGCTATCGTCAACTTTCCCGAGACTCCACAAGGCTAAATTCCTGTGAGCAGGGTATTAAATTCCTTGAATCAGTGAATCGTGCAATGTAGTTGTGCCTGCTGACTTCAACTGATAAATACAAAAGATGGGCCACATTTAACTGCAGTGTAAAACTCACAAGTCATAAAATGTGGGCAAAAATAGAATCTACTTGCCAGAATTTAGAACTCACAAATTCATGAAGACTAATGTATTTGATATTGCAAATTACAATCTGCCCAACTAGTGTTGGGAGTTTGGGTTGAGGAAATACATAGCATTGCAGCAGCACAATTCCTACAAGTTTAGAAAGGAGTTTAAAAACATTACCAAGCCTCATCCCAATGTGACAGCAGATGTATGGACAAGGATGGAGTTGAAAGAGGAAGAAAAGTTGAAAGCTAGAATATGGTGTTGAATACTTTAGATGTGTATTTTTGAAACGCTGACAGACAGACGGCATGCAGCCTTGTACAGCTTTCCAATTTACATCATGTGGAGTCCTGTAGCATAGTGGTTGGCGTGCTCGCCTCGCAAATGAGAGGACCTGGGTTTCATTCCCAGGCAAAGCGAAACGTTGGGCAAGTTTCCTTATTCTGCAAGCCTGTTTACCTAGCAGTAAGTAGGAACCTGGCTGTTAAGCGGATTAACGGATCGCTTTTCTGGGGTTAATAATCTCTTCAAAAAACAAACAAAAAAAATTTGGTCACTCAACAATAATAATAATCTTTGCATTTGATAAGCCACGACTGTTTGTGGGACACTGCTGTACGCAATTGGCTGCCGTGTTTCGCCCACGAAATATACAGTCAATTCCTGTACAGTATATTCTGCAAAGTCTCTCAAAGATGTGATAAGATGCTATATCAAATGCAAGGATTATTATTAGTCACTACACTTTATATTAAATCCCATGATGCCCCTTGAGACGTTTGATGACACAAGAACCAAACCAAATCCAAGGATAATTATAATTCAATTTGTCAGTAAGCCTCTCTCAAAGTACTGACCCTTAAATGAAGCACTGACCATTCAATAGCTCAAGTAAGACAAATGGTATTTTTAAGATCCAAAACTCAGATAATCGAAAATCATTCACTTGGTGTTTCTTCATAAGAAATCAACACCTTACTGTATAAGACATCCAATGCTATCCTATCCCTCTACAAACAATAAGAAAGACTTGGGAGAATAAATTGCATTTGAACACATTAAATGAGATTAATGTTAGGGGGTTGGGGGGTGGGGGAAGAAGCTCATATGAGTTTCAGAATAGCCTGAATTTAATATCTTAAACTAGTATCAATTCAACGAATAGAATGAACCAGACCAGTTTGTGAAAGCATCCACCAGTTGAAATTAAGATACCTAATTGGCAGTTACACTCCTAACATCACGTTTATTTAATGTGTAGTCTTTGTATAGCATGTTACAAAGCTGACTAACAAAGAAAATAAAGCCAAGACTGCATATTTGCAACACTTAAAGAGACACTGACATAATGAAATTACATTGAATTATTAAAGAGGTTTTGGAATGGTATATCATAGCTACACAAGTACAAATATACTCGTGAAGCATTTAATATGCATGTGTGCTATACAAGTGCAAATTGTCCTCCCCATACTTCACCAGAAGGGAATTTTGTTGTACATGTTCATTTTGTTTGGGGGCAGTTGAAAGTGGAAATGGTAGAAGCAGTTTTGTATGTTGCTCAAATTTGTTCCAAACTCAAATAAATTATTGCAAAAACTGTCAAGCTCATTCTTTAAAGAAGATACAATAGTTTCTGTAGGGTTTTTTTCATTCCATTTATTTGATCAGCATTAAATTCTTATAAGATATAATTCAGTAGAGTTCAGCCTAATGACACATATCCAAGTTGTGAAAGTATAAAAGTGAGTTATGAGACTTTAGGGCACCCCATACTGTAATTTACAATGCTTAAGCATCATAGGTTTTCACTCAATAGCANTTTTTTTGTTAAAAAACACTTATTTTCGTACACAAACTATTCTGAGCACAAGTCTTAACAATGAAAGATGTGAATTACTAACGTAAGCAAGATTCACTCTTGCCGAATTTAACTTGTTCAGCAGGAAAATCCTTTACATTGCAATTCTACACAAATTGCAAACTTAATGTTTTGTATCGTTAGAGTTCCTTGAAAATCTTAACATTAAGAAATTAATTAAGAATTCAAGCATGCAAATATCCATACAATATGTGAAACTTTGATCATGATGCAATACTTTTGCCTACAATGTACACAATCACTACAAGTTACAATACTGTAAAGTGCTGAGATATTCTCTTGACGTGAAAGACCCTATATCAAATGCAAGCATTGTTACCATAAACAGATTATAGGGAGCAATAAGGATGGAAGGCATGTTAAAGACCCAATAGGTATTTTAAAGGATAAATTGGAAAAGATGCAATACAGAAGATCAGAAGTGGGCAGATATGCTAGTTTTAATTATGAAGATTGATTTGAAAAACGTGGCCGAATTCCAAATCCATTCATTTAGCCTTAAGAATCTAAGAAGTAGAGCTAGAAATATGAGGAAACTCAATTGAATTGATAAACTGCAGATGGGATTATACCAAAACCGTCATGGAGGGAAAAAAATAGGCAAGACTCCAGTAAATATTGTAATGAGCTCTAAAATTGCTGGAAAGCAAATGCTATCTTGACATTCAAGCAAACAGTGATACATTAATCGGAAATTAGACCATTTATCCTAAAATCTGTAGAAGAGAAAATGTTTTGAGAGCATCATATGGGATGCCATCTGTGCTATAAGGAATATTCAGCATGGGTTTTGAAGCTTGAATTCTCCGAGGAGGTAACTAACGGATGTGCAATCAAGTTGACATTTATTTACTCAGATTTCACAAGCATTTTTTAAAATTTCTACACGTACGAGAGAACAAGATTCTTTCAGTGAAAGTATAAATCAGCGGTAACTTTCCCTAAGAAATGAAGGCAGCAATTTTAGATAAAACAATTGTTATAGCCTTATGGGTAGTCTATCAAAACGCCAAAATAAAGTGGTAGCCAAACAAAACCACCAAGTTGCCTATTTCTGAATAGACGAACAAGTAAGATTAATTGAGGCAAGTCTTAAGTATGAAGTTCTCGTCTGATGAAAACAATAGTTGAGACATAAGCTTATTTATTAGCTCCCTTACTAGACTCGACTGCCAGACGTCTCGACTTTCTAGGCACTCCTCAACCTGGTGTGCTCAGCTTAACGTCTTGGCAATGGCAGACAAGCTCTAACAGCTGCCACGTAAAGTTCAGTAGGGTGACAAACCTCACGTCGACAGACCATGCCAAAAGTCCAAATACCTGCCATACCACACCCTCAGGGATTATAATCAAATTGACACCAATAACAAAACTGACAGTGGATTAGACTTTCAGAATAAAAATCTTGATTTTGTTTTTCAAACTGTACCCTATCAGTCAGTGTTTTATTCACATGAGCTGAATATTTAACATCTGTATTTTATAGCATGTAGAACTAACTTCACTTTATAAAAGTTCAGTTGAGCAAGAAAGGCAGTTCCACAGCAAAAAAAAAAGAAAATTTTATGCTGAGCACAATGCTCGAATACTAGCACTTGTCAATAGAAATGCAATCTAAAAGGCAAATGTCGAAGCCCTGCTATATTCAAACTTCTCTTGCCCCGTGGTTTTGCAAACCACTGAGGTATTGTAAATGACTGATCAAGCATTACAATGCAGG